CAAGAACATGTACATTTAATCTGAACCTAATTTAGCATTTTACAATGCTCAAAAGGTACCTTAAAACAGTAATTTGTTCCACGAGTTTGTCTTGCCTTTACACAACTGACAAGAGGCAAAATTTTAGATGGTTGATATGATCTACCTTTTATCCATTAATAAGTTTTATTTTTCTCAGATGTAGTAATTGCGCTGACTACTTTCCTGACAAAAACAATTAATTTCTGTAACAAAAGAGCAGGGGAAGTATACAATGGGTATTTTGAAAAGGTCATTGAACTTGTCACAGTTAAGATCTGGCATGCTTGAACTTAGCATCATAGAATCATAGAATAGTTAAGGTTGGATAGTACCTTAAGATCATCCAGTTTCAACCCCCCTGCCATGGGCAGGGACACCTCACACCAAGCCATGTCACCCAAGGCTCTGTCCAACCTGGCCCTGAACACCACCAGGGATGGAGCATTCACAGCTTCCTTGGGCAACCCATTCCAGTGCCTCACCATCCTTACAGAAAAGAATTTCCTCCTTATATTCAATCTAAACTTCACCTATTTAAGTTTGAACCCGTTACTCCTTGCCCTATCACTACAGTCCCTAATGAAGAGCCCCTCCTCAGCATCCTTATAAGCCCCCCTTCAGATACTGGAAGGCTGCTAGGTCGTCTCCACACAGCCTTCTCTTCTTCAGGCTGAACAGCCCCAACTTTCTCAGCCTGTCTTCACACAGGAGCCGCTCCAGTTCCCTGATCATCCGCGTGGCCCTCCTCTGGACTTGTTCCATGTCCTTTTTATGCTGAGGACACCAGAACTGTACACAATACTCCAGGTGAGGTCTTACAAGAGCAGAGGAGAGGGGAAGGATCACCTCCTTGGACCTGCTGGTCATGCTCCTTTTGATGCAGCCCAGGATACAGTTGGCTTTCTTGGCTGTGAACGCACACTGAAGCCAGCTCATGTTCAGCTTCTCACTGATCAACACCCCTAAGTCCTCCTCCACAGAGCTGCTCTGAATCTCTTTGCTGCCCAACCTGTAGCTGTGCTGGGACTGCTCCGACCCAGGTGTAGGACCTTGCACTTGGCATGGTTAAACTTCATGAGGTTGGCATCAGCCCACCTCACAAGCGTGTCAAGGTCCCTCTGGATGGCATTCCTTCCCTCCAGCCTTATTAACCGAATCACACAGCTTGGTGTCATCGGCAAACTTGCTGAGGGTGCACTCAATCCCACTGTCCATGTCAGCGACAAAGACGCTGAACAAGACCAGTCCTAACACCGATCCCTGAGGGACACCACTCATTACTGGCCTCCAGCTGGACACTGAGCCACTGACCACAACTCTCAGCGTGCACCCATGAGCCAGTTCTTCAAGAATCATACATCAATCTCTGACATGACCAAAATTTCCTCAGTAAAAACAACCTGTCTTCTTTTTGTAATTCCTAGATACCATATGCTGCAAAAGTAAAGATGTGTTATATATGTGCTAATGTAGCAGAACACTATGAAATTATATTTCAAGGTTACATTACACTACTGCTTCATATGTTTTAAGCAAAGATTCATATATAAAGGGAGGTCAGAGTATTAAAGTGAACTGCTTTCTGTCCTCCAGAAGGTTAAAGTCATGTTTTGGCACAGTCCCCTCTTTGGAAAAAAAAAAACACACCCCCCCTCCACTCCAAAAAAAAAAAAAAAACAAACCCATACCCCCCACAAAAAAACCTTCCAAAAATCAACCAACAAAACAGAAAAGCCAACCAACCAAAAAAACAAAAAAAAACAACCAACCCCCCATACTCCAAAACCAAACCCTAGTATTTTAATAACCAGTACCATATAGGATACCATACCTACTAAGTAGTATGCCAATGGATCACATATGTGTATTTCTCAAAGCTTAACTGGTGAGCACATGAACCTCAAATGTAATTCAAGAGAGTATAATAAAAGGCAGTCTATAAGAATAATGAAGTATCGACAAACTAGGTATGGTTTTACTTCCATAGGTAAGCTTTAGTCTTTCTTTGAATTTCTTCAGATAATACGTACGAGTGACGTGAAAGGGGGAATCACTGAGAAGACTGAGTAAGGTGAGGGACAAATCAACCAGGCATCCTTGAGTAACGGCAAAACCCCCACAGTGGTTATGAACAGGTAAGGAAATAAAAAAGATGTGAGAGAGCAGCTCTTACCACTTTAAAATTTCAATGCTTTGTCTGTTAAGCAAAGTTCTTATTATTTTTTCCTATTCCATTAGAATTGACAATACTTAGTATTCATACAAGTCAAAGAAAACTGCAATAATTCATTGTCAACTTCAGTGATTGCTCATAAAGTTGCTAACTCTAAGAAGGCTGAAGCATGCCTCTTCCATCATGGAACTGTTTAGGAGGGAAAAGTGCATGTCTGCTGAATTATTCTGAATAAAACCATTTCTTTTACCAGCAGAATGAAAATTTTCTGAAAATAACCAAATGGGGAAAAAATGTATTACTGTATACATAATTTGATTTATTTTTCTCACAATACAGACGTCTGCATGAACTGACACCGGCTTGCATATGCAAAACCAAAACACTTCAACTGGTTTTAAATCTTGGAAAGCGCCTGACGTTTCTGCTGATTTCCTGCTGAATAGTAGCTCAAAATAGCTGCCAACTGCAAACTGCTTGAGCTCAAATTGCTTGAACAAGTCCGAAAATAACACGCAGAATAAAATCTCCAGTGTGAAGCAAAATGTCTGGTAGCAAATGGAAAAAGAACCATGGGATAAGCCTGATAAGGTGACAAATCTGTATAAATCATATATGCCTAAACCCCCACGTATTATCAAAGAATAACTAGAACACTTTCAGATTAACTTAATTTAGCCAAAACGTTTCAATTCACATACAGAGTCTCTTCTGAACAGACAAATACAACACCCCCTAAGTATTACTTCTATATAAAATTAATTCTGTGCTAATCTTAAACTGGTCTCAGGAAGAGGCAATAGAATTTTAATTAAAACAAATTCTTTCAACTTATTGGATTTTATTACTATGTAACAGAAAAACACACACACACAAAAGAAAAGCCTAGAAATTCTAAAATGGGAAAATTCTAAAATTAGAAGAAACATGGATCCATAATAGTTTGGTTTTTCTGTTGTTTTTCTGAAGATAATAAAAAACATATTTGACCCACATACACCAATCCCAGAGACAGAAAAAGAACAAAATGATAGATTTTAAATGTATTCAGAAAACTGCTGGGTTTTCTGGGTTTTGGCAAAAAGTCAATTTTCCTGCACAGTAAAATACTTTTTCCCCAAAGAAACAATTCACATTGCTTAAGATAAAAATTTCTAGCAATTAGTACCAATTCCTGGTGTGATCTAACACAAAATGGTTCACACTGTGTGTGATAAAATGCAACCTGTATAAAAGTACAGAATGAAATCATCTAGGTAAAGACTCACAAATTGGAATTCCAAAGCTTTTTATATCATTAATGAAGATTAACTCTTTTCTATCATCACACTACATTCACATGATTCCTACTTCAGACCTGAAGTACCAGACTGAATCCACGTGCTCCTTCCAAGCTGTTAGGAAAAGGAATGGAAACTGGGGCTTTCCAATGAGGCGAAAGAAACAAAACAAAGTAATCAGCAAACTTGCTGAGGGTGCACTCAATCCCACTGTTTATGTCACTGACAAAGATGTTGAAAAGGATCAGTCCCAACACTGACCATGCCCATGGCAGGGAGTTTGGAACTAGATGAACTTAAGGTCCTTTCCAACCTGAACTATTCTATGATAAACAAGAAGCTGCCCCCACCGCCCCAATCTTACTTATCTTTTCTTATGCTACGATACCAGCATTAGAATAATCTACCTTCTCACATGATCATTAAAAAAAAACAACCAAGCAAACAAAAAATAAACCTAACAAAAAACCCCAACCAAACAAAATAAGCCTAAACCAACCACCCCACCACCTTCTCACTCAAACCACAAAACCCAGCACAAACACCACAAACAGCTTTTGGAGCACATGTTCACAATTTAAATTTATCTTTCATTCAAAGACACAAAACCCCACACACTCTTTTCACACCTGCAGATGGGTTATCAACATGACAGTGAAACAGAGTATTTCTTTCAAAGATAATATAAAAGTCATAGCAATGGCCATGGATAACATTAAGGAAATATACTTAAGTAATTTCCTTATGCTGCTGTTTCTCCTCAAAGAGGGTTTTATTCAAACTTCTCCAATAAACAGAACTATGGCTCACTAACAAAAGGTATAATTAATGTCTTCAGCTGGACTACAGCAATGTACCAAGATAACCTTTTTTTTGTTTTTGTTTTTTTTTTAGAGACGTCTCATTAAGAGCATAATCTCACACTTATATAATTCAACTTTATTTAAAATGCACAGACTAAAAACCAAAAGAAATGCAGGAAATGTTGTTATACTCTTGGAATTTAACACTTCCATAAAATACATGGGTATATAAAGCACCTTGTACACAGTCACCAATTTCGTAACAAGCAAATACGCTTGGAGTAACACTACAGCAAAATAAAGTCAGGCACGGAACAAGTTATTTTCCATGTTCCTCCTTACAAGAGTTCTAGTTTTGGCAACATATATGAAGTTTCCATGTAACTTCACCTGGCATTTCCAAAAAGCAGCTGATTCACCTTTCCTAATGGTTTCAACAAAAGGAAACAGAAAGCAGTTTAAGAAAAAAATCACCTACCCATATATATAAATGGAAGATTTCATAGTTTAAGTGTAAACTATGAAAAAGCACAACTTGGTTCACTAGATCTAATTGTATAGGGCCAACAAAAATGAATCAGTAATTTTCTGAACTGTAACTACTCAACTATGAGGAAAAGCTGTTCAGGTGCTAGAATCTGAAGATTTACAATGATGTCAAAATATTAACAGGTATCTTAAATTTTGAGAGGCATCCATTCAAGTAAGTTTTGTAACATTTACCTGTATCCAAGCGCTTTACAGGGGACTCATCATCAACCTCAGAATCTCCACATGCACTCCTTGATCTTTTCCTTGGGTGCAGAAGTGTCTCCAACCTTGGAAGGACTACAGACAAAAAGGTTTTGGTCCCTAGCTGTGGAGAAGTTGGCTGGGTTTCAGTGTTCTTTGCAGACTTTTGGGGGCTTATACTTTTCGATTTGCAGAAGAGAATGGATGTACGTCTGTTTACATCAGTTGATGACTCAGCTACAGCAGAAACAGTCGACTCATTGAGATTACTGTCAAGTAAGTGTTCTGGAGTGTGTCCATTTATTTCTTTCTGAATGGAAGTGCTATATAATTCATTATCAAATTTTACTCTTTTGTAAAGCTTACTCTGCTCTGGATTGAGTTCTACTGGTTTGAGGGTTGGTGGTTCTGAATTAGTCTCCAAGTTTGAAGGAAGAGGTAATGCATCTGATGGTTCAAGTTTAGGGGGAGATTTATCTCCTGAAAAAATTATAAATAGAGTGTGATTTTTGAAAACCTGTAGTTATAAAGTCTATTATAAAACTCACTACAAATGTGCAGCCCACCAAATAAATTGTTGTTTGGAAACAAAGCATAACATTTTAAAAACAAACCTTGTCTAGCAACAATCTGTCCTAGTTAGTAGTTTCTACTTTTATACTGGGAATGTAACAGGGATAGAAAAGTAGGTGTTTATAGCTGGTGTTAAAGAGTTTACACCTAGATAAGTACTTTTTTACTTCTCATGCAGTTATGTTAGTTTCATTAACTAAAAACTAAGAAATCTCTTCTTTTAACTAGAAAGCTGGGGTTGTGGATGGTTATCTGTTAAATGCAATTATACTGCCATTCAAGTACATTTTAATATACACCTTTATTTCACCTTAACAATATTCACTTTACCTGCCTAAGACACATTTTTATCAGATAAGCATAAACTCCACACCATATCTGTAACCTGATCTACGAGAATGAGCTAAAATGCATCATAAAATCTCCAGAAAGTCAAGACTTGAAAAGCTTTTCTACAGTTGTGGCTAGACGTTTTATCTAGCAAAAAGAGGGAGAAAAAAGGGGAGGAAAAACCCCACCACCTCCAAAGTCCTGCAGCTTCACTAGCCACTAGCTGGCAACTTGACAATGCAGACTTGATAGAAGAAGTCAGAAAAACCACCCTCTACCATTATTTCTCCTTCCCTCTCCCCCTCTTTTTTTAACATGATCACTGCCTGGTCAATTCCAGGATTTCAGTGCTGGGAAAAGACAATGGAGATATAACTGAGTGTAAAAAACTCGTTTTCAGTTTTCCATCGAAAGCGATGGGAGGACAAATACACATTCTACTGTTGTAGCAGTCCCAAATACAAGTTAAAGGGCTTCCTAACCCATCATTTCCAACTCAAAAAGATGTTACAACCTTCTTTCTAGCTTCCAAAAGAACCTTCTAAAATATAACTTAAGAAAGAAGATGCTTATTCTAAAGTAACTTTCTGAGACCAATGTAATATTTATGCCATCACATAAGATTTTAAAATTTAGTTAATTTTTCTATGCCACATGAAAAAAAAGGTGTAAAAACCCCAAGGGCTTAAGCCCTGTATCTGTAGTGGATTAAATACTATCTCTGTACTGCTTTGGGTCTGGCTCAGCAATGCTTACTTGAAATCAATGACTAAGTGCAGAAAAGTCTCTGCCCCACTGCTTAAGGTCTAATCAAACAAGAGCACAGTTCCTATTAAAAAGAATATTGTTAAAATGAAGTATTAACCATGCTCACATCTTTTGAAGGAACGTAAGTATTAGAATTGGTAAATAATATTTCAGGAAGGCATTCAGAATGAAATTTACAGTCAGATAAACAAATTTAAATACCACAAATTAAAAAAGCATGTAGTTTAGAATGTCCTAGGTGACTCTTCATTGTGAAGAAATTCTAATTTTCTTAAAATTATTTAGGAAATAGTCACAAAAATATTTAGGCATTCAAGCGCTAATTTGATATTAAACCCTAAATATCATAGAATAGTTAGGGTTGGAAAGGACCTTGAGATCATCCAGTTCCAACTCCCCTGCCATGGGCAGGGACACCTCACACTAAACCATGTCACCCAAGGCTTCATCCAGCCATTCATGGGGTTATTCGGGTACCAAATTTTTCACAGAATCACAACTGAAAACATAATCGCTAGAGGGAAATTCACAGCTCTTCTAAAGTCAGCTCCTGTAGAGATCTTGGGCACAGGAATCTACTTCTTTCCTCATCTTTCTTTTTGGCAAAGTGTTTTCTTGACTCCTTTAAGTACCTTCCACTTTCCAATCAGGATGTGAACTAATGACTGTTACTCTTCACTAGATCAGAACTGTAACAGCAATGCCAATCAACTCTGGATCATGCTCTTCTGTTTTAAAAAGCATACTGTCAATATAAGAAAACAGCTCCTGCTCATTTTTGGACTGTATCTTGCACAACAGCTGCAGTGAAAGGCTGTGTCACAGAAAAGCTAGAAGTAAAAACTTCAGTTATCTGCCTGAAACTACATTCCTAAAGAACTATATTCAGTAGCATCATCACTTGAAGATTAAAAATAAAATAAAATATAAATTTAAAAAATCATTAAATGTTTTAAGAATAGTTAGCGGCCTCAAGAACAAGGTAAATGTGTTGATTCACATACACTTCTACTGTTGTCATTCAAATCTCAAGCAACTTACACGTTTGAAAAGCATTCTCTTAGTCGCACTAAGAATTAAAATCCAAGTTGCTGTTTGAATGGCAGTTAAGGACAGTCATTTTATTGATTTGGCCTTTCAGAAATTTTGGGAACATCAAGCTCTACCAGACACAGACTGTTTTATTTATTACCATGCTTCCATTTTCCCTTGAGCTCTTTTGTCCTGCCATTCAAAGCACTTGAAATTCAATGCAAAATGAAACGTATCTCTAACTCTCCTAAAGAAAAATCAATTAGCTTTTTAGAGGCGAGCTGATCATGCAACAGACTCAAAAGAACTTTTTTTTTTTTGAGACTAGATTTTCTTGGCAACATTTAAAAATTAGCAATAAAGATCTCTGCAACTGATTTAAAACCTAAAAATACAAATATAATATTCAACTGAACTATAAAGTTAGGCCTTTCTAGTATACTGCTCTCATTGAAATAAATGGGAATTAGCCAAGAGTTGGTGCAGCTTCGAGACCAGTATTTTAAGGAGGAAGAAAAGCGTAAGGGGAAGGACTGGTTAGATATGGCTGACTTGGTTCTACAACATTAAGTCTGTTAAGTCCTAACAATAGCTAGATTAAAAAAAAACAACAAACAACCCAACAGAAAACACCCCCACCAAAAAAAAACAAACCCAAACAAACTAAATTGACAACCCAAACCTACCCTCCACTGTCCCCAAAGTATGAAGCAGAGAGTAAGAACAGCTACAAAAGACAGTAAAATGGTCAGAGTTTTCAGCATCACTGACCTAGGCTCACATGATCCCCAAAACAAATTTAGTTATTGAAGGGGATTTCTTAAAGTACAAAGATACTTTCCACTTGGGCATTTCCAATTTCTTCTTGTATGAGACTGTCTGTATTTTTGTTTCTTAACACCTAGATTTTTAAAAAGCCTTGCTACTTTGAAATATAATGTAGGGAGATTTTGATAAAAAATATCATTCTCATACTCTTCAAATATTTGTTGCGATTCAGTGGCTATTTGTCCATTGAAAAATTAAATATAATATTAATTTACTACACCTTAATAAACACTATTAAAGCACCTGACTGAAGAAGTTCAGAACAGTACTAGGTTAAACATGGTTTAAATTCTTACCTTCCTCTTCTCCATCTTGTTCTAATGCTGCACCTTCTTCTTCAAAACTTCCAATACCTGATTCTATTTGAGGAGCTTGGTTGTGTTGCTGACTAAGTTTGTTGCGAATAATGCTGATTTCTTTCTTTAACAGCTTTGCTCTTTTGCTCCTCGACCCACTGGATTTCATTGCACAGGTCAGATCAAGTTTTTCTAGCAACTCTCTCAACTGTTCTTCCAAGGACATATGCGCTCTGTTTGCAGGATTCAGTAACCTATCCACTAAAGTGAAAATACATATGATTGAAAATATGTTAGTGCTTTCCAGAATGTTTCCCAGAAAAGTAATCCTAAAAGGAGGAAAAAATAAAATTCACTTGCCACAACTAAAAACATCATAAAAAGCTACTCAGATTACAGTCTTAGTAGCTTCACCATCACCAGTGATGTTGAAATGAATTCCTACTACATAATTACCATTCTTCTTGATCAGCATTTTGCTCAAGAAAGCTAAATAGCAGAGCAAAGAATTAAAAGGTCAGAAGGAAGACATAATTAATCCTTCCCACCCTAACAGATTATTTTCTAATTGTCAAAGAGAAGGCAAGATTATGGTCATAAAAGTGTTAATTATTCTCCTTTATTGCCAAAACCTCAGAAAACTAATGTGTATGTCAAAAGAAGCTATTTTAATTCCTAGTATTACAAGCACATTTGATTTTTTAATTCAGTAGTTTATTTAAGAATGTGCTTAAATGTGTGTGTGTACTGGTAGTTGTTTTTCATGACTTACAAGCACATACAATCATGTGAAAGAAAGCACTCAATTTAAAAACCTTTTTCATGTATCTTGTTAAATTAGCCTCTTGCATTATCAAAATCAGAAACTGGACAATGCTTTTTAATAACAGATCTAGTAGAATAGAAACACTTGTATCTTTCAGGACATTTTTTAACTGGGAGGGAAGGGAGAAACCTACTCAGCAAACGGAACAGTAACAATCTTAAATCATCTGTATGGAATGTAAACACTGTGTGTAATGGAAAATGCAATTTTTAAAGATAATCCAAAAACATCTTACCATCTTCCCAAGAGAAAGGCTGGGGTGACTCAAGTTTAGGCCGTTCAGGTAAGTGCATTCCAGTTTCATTATTATAACCAATGCTTTCAGCATCTCGCCTAGCTTGCCTGAGAACTACACCTCCTTGATCTCGTAACCGCACTGCCGCTCTATAAAATATTGTATCTTTTGCATTGTATTTCATACAGTTATCTATGATAAGATTGAAGTCTTCTTCAAACTCACTGAGGTTTTTATAGCCTTGAGCCTCTAACCGTTTTCGCATGGTAGAGAAATCCATAGGATGTTTAATATGGTCCAAATAGTCTGGAACCTTTAAATAAACATTTAAAACACAAATGGGTAAAATTATCTTACTACAGACAAAATAACATTAGCTATTAAAAGATCCACATTTTAAAACATATTTTGAAACACCTCTAATAAAGAGCTTTGAAGTGTAGCTTATAAATGCACATCTTGATACTGCAATCATTCGCATACCAGCAAAAGTTTACATATTACAAGATTCTGCATCTCAGGTAACAAGTCAGAGCTCTAGTAACAGGTACTGAATTTACACGATTTTGTAATTCTATGGTTGTGTGTATACTATGCATGTATTTATGCATACACACATAAATGCATGCATACATATAATATACAGCTGTACATAGCATATGCAAACATACATACACAAAATAAACAGACATGTATACATGTCTACATGTTATTTATGCACACGTATAGAAGTATTGTGTATGTATGCATACACACACCTACATTCTATCTAGTTTCCCAGGGAATGGAATTTCACCTGAAAATAAGAACGCAGTATCTACATTTCTATTCTCAGTTTATCAACCTTATCACAAAAGATCAATATGAACCACATTATTCCATACATGTATGTCCTAGAAATTATTTTGGTATATGAGCATAAATATAACTTCCTGTTATGAAAGTCTAAGTCATAATGCAAATTAATCAGAATAGAGATTAAAAGGTATCCTGGGTTCAGCTTGTTTTTCTCCTTCCTAGTAGCTGGTGCAGTGCTGTGTTTGCAGCTTTAGTCTGAAAATGACACTGATAACACACCAATGTTTTCAGTCATTGCTAAGTAATGTTTACTCTGATCAAGGACTTTTTAGTCTCATGCTCTGCCAGCGAGGAAGGGCACAAGAAGCCGGGAGGAGGCAGAGACAGGACACCTGACCCAAACTAGCCAAAGGGGTATGCCATACAACAGCACGTCATGCCCAGTATATAAACTGGGGGAGTTATCTGGAAGGCCCATATCGCTGCTCAAGTCAGGCTGGGTATCGGTCAGTGGGTGATGAGCAACTGTATCATGCATCACTTGCGTTTATTGTTTTCTTTTCCTTTTCTCCTTTTAGTTTTATACTCTCTCCCCTTGTTATTTCCCTTAACATCATTATTATTGATGGTAGCAGTAGTGATTTGTGTTATGCCTTAGTTACTGGACTGTTCTTATCTCAACCCATGGGATTTAGATTCTTCTGATTCTCCTCCCCATCCCTAAGGGGAAGCAGGGGGAAGATGAGGGAGAGGAGTGAGCGAGCAGCTGCGTGGTTCTGAGTTACCAGCTGGGCTTAAACCACAAAAGGCAATGCTGCTTCCACCTCTGTGTGCAGTGATTTGCTTCTTGTATTTGTCACCAAGTCCTACATAAACACAAGGAAATACATCTTAAAACATACCTCCTTAAGGTTCACTGGCTGAGCAAATATCCGAGCAGAATCCTTTTCCTGCAGCTGATCCAGAACTGATCGCAAAAGTACAGTAAACGGAGTAAGCTGAAGTTCCAGAGCAACCTGCTCAATCTTGACCTATAGAAGTAGTAATTATCCAATTAAGCATTATTCCTTAAGATACCATTTTAAAGTTGCTTTGCAGCAATACTACAGTACTTCAGATATGAAACACCACAGATATATTTAACTAAATGAATTCAATGCTACTTTTAATATCATCAGTTCACATTTGTTTGACACGTATTTTCAGCTAATGACTTTGTAGGAAAACAAATATTCTCATCCCTTCATTTTAGACTCAACCAGCTTCTCAGAACTGAAATTTGTATTTCACCTATAAATCTATTTTGTTGCCATTTTTAACAGTATTTCTTTTGTTTGAAAAGATGTTACACAAGAACAGCTTCCTATTTCATCAACAATGCCAAGAATAACAATTGTAATACAGCTGTAATAACAAGAATTTAAAGGTAACATTAAATTTCAGTTGCAGTGCCATGTTCAAAATGTAAAAAGAGAATTTGCTGAACATCTGTTAAGTTACACCAGACCAAAACAAAGAGTAATTTCAAAGATGACGTGTTATATAAATTCCAAGAAAAAAATTTAGATAAACAGAATCAACATCTTCAAATACTTGCTCATCCTTCAGAACATTTGTTATTTTTTACAATATTACAACTCCTCTCCAGTTTTATTTTCAGCCTATTTAAAGTTATCAACATTGAAACAGTTTTGTTATAGCAAAAGTAAACTCTTAATGACACATTAACAGTGTGTGTACACATATAATAGAAACATGTAAACAAAGTATACACATACAAACACATGCATAAAATACATTTTTATAAATAACAACACATAATACATATGTATTGCAAGTGATATGTGAATGTTTAAGAATGATGCATGGAATTCCAGAAAGCACTCAAGAATTACAAACTACATTAGCTTGCAATGAACGTGTACAGCTTGCAAACAGTAAAAATGGAATGGTGTTTTTATAAGGACAATTAAAGACTTGTAAGTGTAAACATCTTGCTTTCATAGTTTTCATACAAAATACTATCTTTTTGAACCACCACTTCCTCAAGTCTCTTCTCCCAGCAATGTTAACTCAAGAATGTTGCAGGACACAGATGCAGGTTTAGGGATTAATTTTTTTTTCCATTGTTTTAGTGACACAAGAATAAAAGTGCTACTCAGTACAGGCACAAGTATTAGGAAAACATAAAGAGATGAAATTTTCTATACTTCTTCAGAAACCAAGCATATTTGCAAGTCTAACAGAATGCCTGTTAAACAATTTCTCTGCACAAATGCACACAGCACAGGCAACAAGCAGGAGAAGCTGGATGCCACTGTGATGCTAGAAAGCTATGACCTAGCTGTCACTACTGAAAAATGCTGGGATGAATCCCGTAGCTGGAGTGTGACTATCAGTGGCTACAGGCTGTTCACAAGGGACACTGCCCTGTTGCGTAGTGATGGGTTCAACAATGCAAGGGTCGAGTAATAAGAAGGGTTTCTACAGGTCTGTCAACCAGAAAAAGAAAGTCAAAGAAAGCATACCCCCCAGGAATGTGACTGGGAAACTGATAACAACGGATGAAGAGAAGGCTGAGGTAACCCACCAACTTTTTTGCCTCAGTCTTCACAGGCGCTCTGTCTTCCCACACCTCTCAAGTAGATGGACCTCGAGGAAAGGACTGGGAAAGTAAAGTCCCTCCCACTGTAAGAGATCTGGCTCAGGACCATTTGAGGAACCTGAATATGTGTAAGCCTATAGGAGCTGATGAGATGCATCTGAGAGTCCTGAGGGAACTGGCTGATGTGGTTGCCAAGGCACTCTAAGATATCTGAGAGTCATGGTGGTCAGGTGCAATCCTCAGAGACTGGAAAAGGGAAACACTGAATCCATTTTTAAAAAGGGGAGAAAGGAGGACCCTGGGAACTACTGACCTGTCAGCTTCTCCTCTGTACCTGGGCAAAAATAGGAACAGATCCTCCTAGAAGCTGTATTAAGGCCCTGCAGAGGATGAACTGGTGGCTGAAAAACTGGACACAGGCTGGCAGTGTGTGCCCATTCCTGAAAGGCCAACTATAGACCCGGCTGCTTTCAAAGAAGCATAACCAGCAGGTCAAGCGAGGTGATTCTGCCTCTCTACTCTGCTCTCATGACACTCAACTTGAAGTACTGTGTACAGTTGTAGGGCCTCCAACACAGAAAAGACATGGACCTGTTGGAGAGGGTCCAGAGGAGGACCAGAAAAATGATCAGAGGGTTGGAACACCTCTTCTACAAAGAAAACTAGGGTTGCTCAGGCTGGAGAAGAGAAGGCTTCAGGGAAACCTTACTACACCTTTCAATACTTAATGGGGGTTCACTAAAAAATATGGGGACAAACTTTCTAGTACAGCCTTTTGTAACAGGACAAAAGATAATGGTTGTAAACTAAACCAGGGTAGGTTTACGATACATGTAAGTAAGAAATTTTTTACGGTGATGGTGGTGAAACACTGGAGCAGGTTGGCCAGAGAAATGACAGATGCCGCATCCCTGGAAACATTCAAGGTCAGGTTGAACAGAACTCTGAACAACATGATCTAGTTGAAGATGTCCTTGTTGACTGCAGGGGCATTGGACCAGGAAGGTCCCTTCCAACCCAAACCATTCTGTGATTCTATGATAATTTTATGTATCTTAAACAGGCTGCATGAATGTGTGCATGCACTTTTCTTGACCCTATGTGAGGATTAGAAGACAAACACTGCAATCTTTCTATTGCAAAAACTGTGTGTTAGAATACTTAAACTATCTTTTCTTCAGAAAAGTTTCACCAAATTAAAAATTCCCTTTACCTGTTCTCTTTTTAATTTTTCACGCTTACGTATAAGTTCAATCAACAAACGTGCTCTTTCAAGATCATGGCGCAGCCTTTGCCAGTACTTCAATTTTTCTTTTAAGGCTTGCATTTCTTCATCATCTTCTCTCTAAGAAAAGAATCAAAAGGTTTTCATGACATAAGGAAAACTAACCTGTTTTTATAAGCTATGCTTTATGTAATTACAGAATGTATTTCCAGGAAAAGAGAAACTACTGTCTAATAGCTATGGTACTTGATCATAAGCTTCATGCTGCAACAAAAGAAAACCCCTGATCAGAATATCTTCTAGAGTTTCTCAGCCATCTAGCTGAAAACAAAACCTGTGAAAACCAGGAAGCAATCCTATGGTAAAGGCTATTTACATCAGAAAAAACAATACAGCAAATAGCAACGCAGCAATATAACAAGCTACAAAATAAGATTCAGTATTTTTACATTAAAATCCAAACCACGTGAAGATCATCAGCTTCTTCAGAAGTTCAAGCCTGTTAGAAACAAATTCTTCTTGTGCACAACACAGTCCACCTCCCCCACACCCAGAATTAGAGCACACTTGTAACAGAACAAAATCACTACAACGTCTGAGGACAGGAAATAAAAAGCAGGTTATAGTAACTTTATGTGGTACAGCAAATGGGTAATGCAGTAAACACAACATTTTTAGGAAGAAGTATTTGAATACTTGCAATATTTAGTTTGATTTGTACATACAGAAAACAGAGCCTTTCTTTTTTTTAATATTCTTCGTAAGGAAAAGGAGGATATTGGAATTCTACCTATAGTATTAAAACAGTATTGCTAATTCACGAGAAACAAGGCCATAACAAAGTAGGAGTCCTCATATTAGTACCATGTACACGAAAGAAATATCTGTTCTGGAAAACAAGTACGTTTAAAATTAATATTTTATAAAAGAATCTCAGAAAGAGATCTAAAAATTTGTATGCTTGCCTGTAACTAGCATAATGCAATATCCACTTGATAAGTAATCGTCAGATATTTTTTAAAACTAAAGCAAACAAATAAAAGATTCTCCAAGTTATAAGAAATAGAAAAGAATAAAGATGTCTGAGCACATGAACAAAACCCAGCATTACAAATTGTTACACTCTAAGGAGAAACCTCCTTAACAGAAGGATGATTTAGAAATATTATAGGCACATTAAAGGAAACTTGTGCAATTTTTCAGACGAAAGTTTCCCAAAAATAAAATCACAAAAATTGGCAGTTAAAAAAAGAATACTGAATAGCTTTGTAAGCGCTGTGAGTCTATGATCTGCATCATATTTTATTGCTTTATACACTTTGTAAAATAAAGGCAAGTATCCATGGAACCTATGTTAGTTTTACACAAATCTCTGACTTTAGTGAAGGTGAAAATCCTTAACTATCAACTATCTCTGTATTACAGTACAGCAACCTGGAAACAGCAGCTCGTTCCTCTTTTAAAAAAGTTTGAAAAATTGTAGCTAGAAAATTCTAGTTCCCTTTTCTAATGACAATTACTACTGACAGTTATAATTTCTCTTAAGGGGTTAAGTTTTGACTTAGACACACAATTTAACTGTTGATGCTAAGAACAGTTCAAAGTTCTGACAGAAAAAATAATACCCGTATTTTCAATTCCTTAACATTCTTAGACTGACTGAATTAGAAAGTCTACAGTGCCACTAATTGCTGTTCTCCTACATCCCTTCAGTTCTGAGTACAACTCCCATGTGTGGAAAAGCAACCTGTTAACTGACATTGCTATACAATTTTTCCATAGCTTTATTTTTTTTCAGGACCAGAATTAAGTTGTGGTTATTACTAAAAGTGGAAGACTTGCCCTTTGCTTGCAGCCAGTCAGAGTCCACTCTTTTGCCCTATGTAATTGCATAGTTCATGAAACTTGGGAATTGACCCTGCTCAAAGCTCAGTCAACAAAACCATGCTAGTTTTAGGATGGGTAAAGAAACCTAAATAAGCAAGGAAAAAAAAAGAACAGTTACTCTGTTACAGCAAGCCTTGGGGTAGTTCACTTTAGACTTCAGGATTTGACTACATTTGACGGTATAATTCTCTTAAAAAAAAAAAAAGAAAAGAAAAAAAAATCATTCCTTCAGTTGAACCAGTTGTTTAACCAATTTCATTCCATAAAATAGGCAGGCAGATGCCAATCTGCAGATGTGACTACTAAGAGCACCTTGCCTGCTTTTTGTATGCACATATACTCCCATCTTAAATGTCATTCCATCTTGGAGGTTAATAGTAAGCCTCCAATTTTCTGATACTTTTATGCAAATTAGTGTTGGCAGACACAGTTACAATTGCTGAGGTAAACCCTCTTCACCCTAACCTATTTATTATATATAGTTTAGTTAGATTAAAAGATCCAGGCAAACTGAAGAGAGCATGATGAACTGGTTTCCAATATCTAACTAGTAAAAACTTGGATAAAAATAGTTCCTTTTAAATTTTTTTAGTTTTCATAAGCTTTTTGGCAAGGAAAGTTCCTATTAACTTTCCCGGTAAAGAACTCTTCCAAATCTTTCTGTAACAAAGCCAGGAAGTTTCTTCTGGCAGACAACACAGAAAAATTTAGAAAGAAACTTTGTGGTGTTTTCTGATGGACTCAGTTCTTTCTGAACACCAAGTATTACCTAGGAAAAAAAGCTAAAACTGACACATTTATTAATACTGAGGGAAGAGGAAAATACTTCTATATCTACACACAGAACATGGATCAACTGAGAACCGGTCTTCAGCTTCAGCTCCCCCGATGAGTATGCTACCAGCCTCTGCCTACTAGTAGGAATACTGTCAGTGCACCAACAGACCATCCCTTCCCCCTGGATGTGAGTACTTAGGGACAGCCTCACCCCCTACATGGACTGTGACTGATATCAGCCAAACAAAAATATAATTGGAAACTCTATTTCCAATAGTGATGAAATTGGATCTTGATCAATACAATTAATTTTATGAAGACCCTCTGCTGGCACCTCTATGCCAGTCAAAACCATCTAGCAGCTGCAACTTGTGTTCTTACTGAAATCTTCAGTGCTGATATGACCCTAATCACCAGCACCTTCTACTTTGTTTCTCTCACAGCAGTTTATTATAAACTATAGTAACAGCAGCTTTAAAATCAATCTCATCACAGCAGTAACAAGCTACTATACTTAGATTGCATGCCTTACTTTTAGTCAACCATTCTTTAATTACAGAAAAAAAGGGATATAAATTTATTAGTGTATTTCCAATAGCCTTCCTGAATTTCTAGGTGGAGAGAGAAGTGACAATATAAACCATTCTTTCAGATGGTTCCTTTTTCCTGCAGATGGTGGGGTAGCATATAAGCCAAGATCTTCTTCCCTGGTTTAGAACTTTTAGTTGATAAAACATCACCTCTAAAAGCGTATCACAATTAAGATCTGAAAGACATTCATTAGGAAGCGACCATAAATCATGAACCCTTCTCCCCCCCTGCCAAATTCGTTCTAGTAAACGATATTTAGAGAGGGATCAAAGTCAACCTCCACTAAGCATCCAGAAACCATTTTCAGGGTTTTGGTTCCTCATAGTAATATTTCTTTTCAGTTTAAATAAATAAAATAAAAATAAAATAAATAGAAATCTTCTCTGAATCTGTATTACATCAGTGCTTATGTTCCCCTGACTGACTGAAAACCTATTCAGGTTTCTTGATGTTTTGACCTCTCACATAAAATGAGGTCAACAGAATTTTCCCATCTAGACTGAAATGAGTTACCATCTATATTTCAAAAATTTTGACGCATTCTCAAAACAGCCATGGCACTGCTGTTTATTAAAGTCTTCATTCTGGTTTGGTTTATAGTTGGAATAATGAAGATGACTAATGCATCAAATGCTTTACAGTTATGACTACTTTAATAGGCATTCCAAATACTTACTGAAGATGGTATGGGCAATGTCATACAATCCTGCCATGACACAGCATACTCACTACACTCACTGAAAAGCACTACCAATCTACATATTTTTCATCAATAGAATCATTTACTACTCAGCTCTGCTTGAAGATTGCGTTTTCTTTACAAAAGATAATGTTAATGTAAGTTTTTACAAATAAAGTTTCAGAACTACCCGCATTTTTAATAAACCAGTATAAATAGTTTCCAATTAATTTAGAAGATATTTTCTAAGGAATAGTTCATAGCTCTGAAAAGAAATAAACAGTGTTTGTACAGGAGTGAAAAAAAGGCAAACAGATTCTAAACAGCTCCTAATAGAATCATAGAATCATAATCCAACTTCAATAATAATTTTTTATTTTGGTAGCTACTATTTAAATATTTAGAAATGTCAGTCTCATTAGGCCATCTCAGTATGAAAAGTACTTCCCAGCTACCAACCTTACGTGTATTTTTTTCAGACACTAACTATAGCCTAGGTCTATACTGCCACATAACCCTCAAACTTTGGTGCTTGATTTTATTATTTTTAAGGACTCAAGCTCATTTAAAAAAAAACAACCCAGCAGTCTACTATCTGAATAAAATAATTTCTGCTATTATTAGCTAACTACCAGACACAACTCTTCAGAACAGAATCTTCTCATAAAGGATTATGAGAAAGTTGGGGCTGTTCAGCCTGGACAAGAGAAGGCTGCGTGGAGACCTCCTAGCAGCCTTCCAGTATCTGCAGGGGGGCTATAGGGATGCTGAGGAGGGACAAGGGGTAACGAGTTAAAACTTAAACAGGGGAAGATTAGATTGGATATAAAGAGGAAATTCTTTCCTGTTAGGGTGGTGAGGCACTGGAATAGGTTGCCCAGGGAGACTGTGAATGCTCCATCCCTGGCAGTGTTCCAGACCAGGTTGGACGAGGCCTTAGGTGACATGGTTTAGTGTGAGGTGTCCCTGCCCATGGCAGGGGGGTTGAAACGAGATGATCTTAAGGTCCTTTCCCACCCTAACTATTCTATGATTCTATGATTAAAATATTAGAAATTTAAAGTAGAATACAAAATATTTTACAGAAGTTACAGCACCCCAAAATAGTATTAAAATGGAGTAATGCAGAAGCAATGAAAGAAAGATGAACAAGTGGCCAATTTATATTCAAACTTAATGTCATCTAAAAGGAATCCACCTAAATTCCATGAAAAGGAAGTTGAGCATCTCAGCTCTGAGAAAATACTGAGAGAGATGGGACTGTTTAGCCTGGAAAAGAGGAAGCTCAGGGGGATCTCACCAATTTATGTAAGGGAGGGTGCAAAGAGGATGGAGTCAGGCTCTTTTCTGCCTGTGACAGGACCAGAGGCAGCACAAAGTGAAAAACAACAGGATCTCTCCAAACATCAGAAAGCACCAAGTGCGACCAAGCACTGGCACAGGTTGCTCAGGGAGGCTGTGGAGTCTGCACCCTTGAAGATACTCCAAAGCTGTCTTGATATAGTTCTGGGCAACCTAAGTAGCCCTGCTTGAAGGCCTCCAGAGGTCCCTTCCAACCTCAATTATTTTGGGAATTATTAATTAGGGTTTTTTTGTTGGTTTTTTTTTTCCCCATGAAAAGCTAAGAAACACACACAATGACAGATCAAATAATTAGCAGTACTGAACATGATGTTCTTATGACTACATCAATTAATGATTTAATCAGCAAACAGAAATGCAACTCAAGCAAAAATAATTTTTCGGCTTTAAAAGGGATGGGGGGGGAGCTCAATTTAATACAAGTAAATGATTATAAAATGCATTAAGTTCTAGAGGCTATTTAACAGGAACAGTTCCACTGGAAGTTAAACACCTGGAGAATGAAAAGAACCAAAGCAATAAAAGATCAACCAAAATCTCTAATGTCACTGAAGAACTGCTCGTATTACAAAAACAGGAAGCAGAGGTGTATCACTTTCTGCAAGACACACATCTGGAGTGCCTGTTTCACTGTTTTTCAGCAATTCTGACTGATAAATCCATACAACTTTAACCAGCCTAGATGTATTTTAGCTAGGATGAGTTTTACCTGAACAAAATACCAGCATAAATTTACACTTGTTTATAATTCCACTTAACTATGTCAAAACTAAGAGTGGAAACTGGTCTTTGAACTTCGTCGACAACTGGCTCTTTATCCTGTTACTACTGAACAAGGTGGGTAATAAGGATCTGAATTTGAAGACTGTAAACTAGAATGCCTAACCTCTACTCTGCAAAAATCCCTGGTTTTCTGAGCTGTAACTGTCAAAGATGACATTCACTTTGCACTTTTTAACGTATTTAATGTATTTAATACTAGATTTATTTTTATCTTAATAACTCACAGCACATTGATAAGTGAGTTACAAAAAACTACAATACTAATCAATGAACACTGATATCAGGATAGTTTCAGTGATCGTGTTTTTGTGAAACATTAAGCAAAACCCAACACATACACAAAAAAAAAACAACAAAAAAAAAACAAAACTCTGCAGAAATATTTTTCTTTTCACATCTCAAATTAAAAAGGATTAGATAATGCCCCATTTCCAATACGGGACATATTACTTAAAAATAATGTGAAGAATTTACTCAGTCCTGAATAAGAGAAAGTCTTCATTCTGCTATGTTTCCTGGTTAGTTCTTTTACTCTTTAGAATAAAGATTTTCTGATTTCTTCTTATTAGTAAAAAGTGTGTCACATACCTGTTGTGTGTTTCTTTGTGACTGTAAACTGGACTGCAGCCTTCTCAACAGAGGAACACCATTCCTAGACAGTCTTTTAAGCAACCAGTAACTGTGCACTCGTTCAACAAATTGCTTCTTCCGCTGAATGGCCACCTGATTCATAATCTTATTTAATCTAAAATACGGAAAAACTGATATTGTATTTTACACAGCAAAGCATAAGATGTATTTGTCTGTGGAAATTAAACATCAGATATAACATGAACGCATAACATCAGTGATCACCGTATTGTTCATTTCTTTCAACGACATCCCTTTCAGTACAACTGTTTCTGAGCAGTCAATTACAATCAAATGCATCTGCTCAACACTGCAATTTCTACTATGTACATTACTTTATAAAGCTGAAGTGTATTTTTTCATTATCATTATCCAAGAGCAATCCCAGATTAGGGCTGAGAATAAAGCTTCATGTAAGTTTCACAATAGTTTTCCTATTAAAATCAGAAATAAAACTAAATCCCTACGAAAGTTTTCAGATGATTCCTTGCTATCTTCACACAGAATTAGTAGTTTATCTTAAAGACAATGTACCTTTAAACATTTTACAAAAAAGCATGCAACAAAAAGCTTGTATTATTCATTTACAAATATTAATTTTTTGGTAAAGTGAACAAAAAATATAAACCAGAACACATTATTTTACTCCACACATACAAAGAAAATATCTACAAGAGAAGATGCAAGAGAGGATCATACGAACAGTTAAGCACTGTGTACTGATTAAATAATCAGTATTTTCTCCAAAGTTATTTTTTAAAACATGCAACTATTGTTTACATATACTGTTTACAAATACTCTAGCGAAGTACTGTAAGAAATTCACAACAACCTTGACTCTTAAACAATGACACACTGAATGAATAAGTCACACACAAACATCCCAAGACTTGCACTAAAAAATATGTTTATCTGAAACAGACCTTCAACCCCTGTGCCTGCAGTGTCTTGAAATGACATAAAATAATAATAATAAAAAAAAGTTAATGGCTGTAGAATGAAAAGGTTTTGTCTTTGTATGATATTGCAGGATTTGTCACTGTTGGCAGCACTTGCAAAATTAACACAAGATGTCCTAAGGCACCTACCCTGTTATTGTCAGGGGAATTGTTCATTCATTTTGGGGCAGGGGCGAGCTGGAGAGAGAAAAGGATTTCTCTGAGCTGGACTTAGTAACAGTTACAGAAAGGATAATATCAATGAACAGAATCTGTTAGCTCTTCACTCAGTGTATTACTGCCCACAGCAAAACTCTACAATGGAAGGTATACTTACCAGAGATTCTCCAATCAAATTTAATACCGAAATAGGAAAACTTAAATTCAAGAAGTGTCTCATTTGCAGAGCACTACCACAAGGCATTTAAATAAAAATCACAAATATATACGCATATTAGTACTGTTTTGCTTTTTCCCTTTTAACATTAGGAATAATGTAGTTTCACATGTAAATGGTAGAAGCAGTCAAACACCTTAACAGAATGTAATGCTAGAAGTAAATCTTAGCTATAACACGTTGTACAAATACCTGAAAAACCTGAATAACATTTTTTCAGACAGACACAAAAGTGAGTTCATCCCAAGTTCAAAGTTCACCTAGCCCTGGTTGGCTTTTTGGGGCTGCACGGAAGGTACAGTGCAATAGGTCTTCTCAGTGCTATGCTAACTAGCCACAGTGCTTTCAGCCATCACAGGGCAAAGGCAGAGCAAACACAGGTTTTCTTCAAAATACAGTGCCATTGTGTTCCTTGGTTCTTTAGTGCCATTATTTTTCAACTAGCAACTAAGCCAGTTAGGCATTTTACCTTAACTTAAAGCTTAGAAAGTCTGCAGATGAATTTAGGACTGTCTTGTAAGTCTTTCATTGAAGAGCACAGGCAGGCTCCACAAAGACTTACTCAATGCAAAACAGACCTCGATGTGACCATATTAAACTTCAAACATGACAGAATTAATTATAGAATGCAATCAAACTCAAATAATTAATTTCACATCTCTCTCTTGGAAACAGCAAAACCTACTGAACCGAGCCAAAAAAGCACAGCCAATATACACCTATTTGGAAAGACCAGAGAAACATAACTTGACATGAAGAAAGGTGCCTTGGCTTCATGCCCATCAGATGTGGCAAGACGAAACAAATATCTTTAATTACAGCTTTAAGTACATTTAAGTATATTTGCCCATTCACATTACAAACCATTCTATTCATAGATAATTATAATAATAAAGTGCAAGAATAAGCTTAGCAAAGATATCCACAGAAGATATTTTCAGATTCTCAAAATACAAAGAAGGTAATTTGGAGTGCAGAAATGACCTTACAAGGGGTAGGAATCTACTGCTCCCTCTAAATAAAACCAAATATTGGCTGTTAATATTTCATCTGGAAATCAATTTAGTGGCAATATAGCACTAATCACCCCTTAATTTCTCAAAATAGAGAGGTCAGCGGCTCTTCACAAGGCAAACTATGTACAGAACCTCCAACACTACGATCTTAGTGATATAATAAGGATGTTGTATCTGTTGCTAGCCCCTGAGAATCCACTAACTACAGTGCAGTTCTTTGATCACCTTTTTACTTAGATACTCCCATGTCGACTTTTACTGTTCGAAAAGCTTGAAATTTTGACAGACAATACAACCATTTTGGAGAAATACAACATGATTAACCTGCTGCTGTAGGACCCTTGAAGCAGCACAGACAGGGTATTGATCTGAAGCTCCCACTTTTGACAGTGCTACCGCATTGGGAAAGTGGTTCTCACTCACAAAGATTCACTCAGATGCAGGGAAGGCTGAATACAAGCATGAAATAAGGCACAAATGTATGCACCAGTCTTGAACAAACTCCCTTCTGCTTCCTTAGCTTGAACTAGATTTGTAAATGATGAAACTGAATTCCCTGAGGTCTTAGAAGAGTTTGCTGCACATTCCACTTCTTTTTTTCAAGAGATGTAATTAAAAAAAAATACTGAACTGTAAAAAACAAAAAGTGTGTATTTATGTATTTGAGGCAGGTAATGCAGAGCTGCTCAAAAACTTTATAGTTTTGCAATCCAGGATCTGACTTGCACAAGACACAATTAACCACTACACTACACCACCAAATCCCCCACGCAGAGGCAAGGTTTACACAACCTTGATCACTTCCCAAACTACACAAAACACCTCAGCAAAGGTATTGTTTTGCTAAACTTTGTCCACCTTTCAACATTTGTTAAGACAAAATTCCCAAGAAGCATCCTCAAACAGACCATGTTAAGTGCTAAATGCTTTTCTCTCAAAGCATTTAAGCAATTAACACAATTAAGCTAAACCTGTAGCAGAACAGTTCTTATACTGTCAGGTACTGCAGCCTGAACCATTATTCTGAGGCCTTAAGACAGAGCTCAGCCTGTCTCACAGAATGCTGCTTTTCCCCCAACTTACCAGTTACCTAAAATAAAGTAAACTGAAAGAAGAACTAAAAAATTCTTAAAAAGGTGGCCATGCTCCCACAAAATTCAGTAGCCGCTGTATGTATCTGGTCTCATGAAAGAAGCATTAGGCTTCGGGCTCATGATCACTGCACCGTTTCAATGTTTTGGCACCACCAGTCATGCTTCCTCTTGTTTTTCGGCTTTTTGGGGGCTACATTCCAAGACTACACAGATGTCAAAACATTTTTCATAACCATTTTATTTGTGCCACAGGCAAGTGAGGAAGCCTGTACTACCTCCCTTCCTCAGCTCTGCTGGTATCCAACTGTAAACCACTGTGACACCCACTAAAAACACCATATGGAGGTACCATACAATTCCATGCTTGTATTTAAACAGGCAGAGATCCCTCTTCAGCTGAACCTTTCAAATAGCACCTGCAGTACCCAGCCTCAAACCTTAGTTCAGGCAAAAGTGTAAATTACAGCATTAAAACACTGCATTTACAAAAGCAACAGAAGGATGAGGAGAGGAAACTGGCTCTTTTTGAAAGAGTAAGACAGATTCAAATAAATAAAATTAAAATTAAAGTTAACATGCAACAGCTTTGGTAAGGAACTGTCAGCTGCTCTAAGCTAACCCTCTCCTCAGAGACTTTTGATGGATAATCTACCCTGCAAAGAGTAATACTCCCAATGCACTGGTTAAAGCATTGAGAAAAAGCTGAGTGTTATTCCCTCATCTTCAGAGAAATACATAAAATAATTTTCACCAACATGAAGAGATGTGTTCTTGGCATATTAGCAATCTGACAGCTTTGTTGTTCCTCCTCACAACCCCCTTCCTCTCCCAGTTTCAGTTACAAGTCACTGTGGCAACTACAGCAACTGGTTGCAAGAGAAGTGAAAGCACTATTTCTAGTGACTAAGCTATGCGGCAGTTTAATGTCGGAAAGCCAGCAAAATATAATCAGCCATTTTTCTATTAATCATCACTAACCACTCCACAAACCCCACGCGCTTTCTAACCCCACAGATACCATTTCAGTATTACACTGTATCAAGACGTCTACAGGACCTCTCCATTCACAGGTTCCTGAAATATAAACTGGAAAGAAAACTTCCTTAAGCAAATACATGATTCTGCCAGTATTACAGTAATTTAGGCAGAAGGAACTGAACATGAGCATTTTATAGTTTAAGCAAGACCAAACACCCACTAAATCAAATCAGTTTTTAAACATGAACCAAACATAGTTTAATTACTATACTTGTCCTGAGCCTCCACTTTCATCAATTTCTTATTTTGCATCTTCCTTTACCAATACAGCTGTATTAAAAGCACATGTAAAAGACTAGAAAAACTAAATTATACTCTGTAACATGGTATTTAGTATCACTGAAGTACCAGTTTCTCTTGACCTATAATAATACCCATGAACAACCAAATGATGTTCCACTTCACTGGGCAAATAAAATATCCCTATTTTCCCCACACAGAGACTGCAGGTTAAGTTTTTAAAACCTGTCAGAACAAAACAAAAAAAATCCAAATTGAACAAATTGTAACAAAGTACACTAAATTTCAAGAACACTGTAATGTTCAAGCCTTGTTCAACAAAGTTCCACAGAACATGATGAGGTTCATAGGAAGCAAAAAAGACAAAAAGTACCTACAAACAATTATAGTAA